CGTAATAAAGAAAGCAGCAGACCCCAACACCAGCCTTATATTAGTAACTATGGCCCTATTTTTTAAATGAATAGATTTTTAGTATACTGTAAAAATACAGATTTTAAAGGAATCAAATTTCCATGGTTTGAGTAAAATATATGAGGGATTTGATTTTGTGGTTTAGGATTCGTTCAGTAGTTATATATTTTGAAAAATTGCATTTTGTGGTGAACATAATTCGCAGGTCTCTTCTTTTAAGCTTCTTTCTTTGTGAAAGTGTGCAAATATGAAATATGTATATACCTAGAATATTATCCGGTGCTGCACAAACGGAGTACATTCGGTTCTGCCATGTGTTGATCAGACAGTGATATAACAGATTATATTTGAAACATGGCAGAACTATATTTGAACAATTTTTTCTCCTTGCTTGTAGCTCCCAATCATACTTCGTACGAGGGCACCAGTCAACCTGTTCTATACTTGCTGCTAAACAGGATCCTGTACCCAATATCTATCACAAACAGAAAAAAAAAACATTTTAAATTGGAAGTTGCTTTTACTGAAAAAATTCAATATTTTGAAGGCATATACATGTATTAAATACATTTCACGAACGGAACAAACTTTTTTCCCTTTTTTGTGTGAATTGCAATTAAAATTGTTAAGTAAACACATCTATATATAAAATGACTCATGCCAATTGGCCAAAATTATAATCAATGCAATGTCTCCCTTAAAGTTCCTTCTATCTATTGATATGTTGAAAATGAAATAGTTACTTTGAGTCATTGACTCAAACAGACCCCGACGGGGTTTCACTAAATACTAAAACCAGCTAGACTGTTCTGATTAGGCTGTCCGTAAATTTAAAAAAAATGTTCAAACTGTTTTAATCTCTATGAACTATCTAGATATGACGTCATAATAGAATATGGCATCAAGTCACTGCATACTTTGGCTAACATGAAGGGGAAAGTGTCATAAATTTTCCAATTCCTTTCACATTGCATGTAGACTTTTTCGGGTGTTGCTGTTTAATTCACGGTTCGGGATTGTTTTTAAGCGCCATTGTGCTGTTATTATGTTGGACATTTGAAATTTACATATCTCTCTTCCTTTCACTTGTCCAATGTGCACATTTAAACAAAAGCGACTAATTGAATATGAAAAATTACCTTAAACTTTACGCACCCATAACCAGAGATAGAATCTATAAATTGTGGTAACATTCGACTGGCACTAGTGATTAAAAAGGATACTTTGGCACTGTGAAAACTTTGATTTACTATAATGAACACTTTGACACTTTGATACATGTATTCTATAGTGAAAATTATGACACTTCATTTACTATAGTGATAACTATGAAAACTTTGAATTTATGTCGTGATCACTATGGAAACTTTGTTAATATGGTGATAACTTTGAAAATTTTGATTTACTATTGTAGTATAACTTTGACATTATTTTGATCACTTTGAAAACTTTGTTTAACTATAGTGAACACTTTGACACTATAGTAGATACTTGAATGCTTTGATATACTATAGTGATAACTTTAACACTTCGATTTACTAAGTTCCACTAAAGTTATCTAAAGTAAACTTCAGTTAATTATAGTATTGTTGTTAGGGTTGCATTAACCAGGACTGTTCGGAAATTATTGAGACATTCTGTATATTTTTTTTTATTGAACGTCTTTTAATAAAACTTTGCATAAACGTTTGACAAACATTAAGGATTCATAAAAGAAAAGATTTATATTACAAATATTTAATTTCTTCTCAACAGTGGTTTATAATGTGTTGATGATGGGGGTTCTCGGTGCAGTCACGAAGTCAGGTTTTGAAAATAACAAACATCACTGTTCAAACCATCGATAGACCCAAAAGAGAAAATAGTTCACTGTAAGTATATAATGTTTCCATTTTATTTTGACTTTATAGTATTGAAGTTTATTAGAATTCTTATATGAAATTATGAGATCATTAAAAGATTAAGACGGTAAAGAAATCAGAAAACGACCACAAAATTGATTTTGACATCAGTTCGGAGCAGAGAGGGACCTAAAAATTTTTGTAGTGCTATGCAGGATTTTATTTACCTAACTTCCAACATGTTGAAAAATAATAACCAGGATTAGATATGTCGAATGGTATCTTTTTTTCATTGGTATATATTTTTCGAACCAATAATTCAACCAGAATAATATCAAAATTTCGATACAGCCATCATTCTATTTTTACTGTATCGTAATTAATAACGTTTAGCTGCGATGAATAAATCGGCATTGCATGATGCTGAATATATGACACTTGAACATTTTACATTTTAGTGTATCAACAACACACATTTTAAAAGAAAAGTAATGGTTTAAAAAAATCTGTTTAATTTTTGTTATGCCACACATGATAATAATAAAAGAAGAGTATACGCTTCACGATCATTTTACATGCATTTTCGGCTGACGTGACGTTAAAATGACGTAGTGATGATGTTCCAGGTCGACAGACATATGCAGGTTTATCATTTCACCGGCAAGTATCTGACTATCCTCTTAATTTGAAATGTTGCATAATTGTTTAATTTGTCTTTATAAAATGTTGATGATTTTTTAAAAACTATCTCTGCTCTTATATATCTTAATAACAGTCCTCGTATTTCATTTTTATGACCCTATAAGTCGGGTGCATGCAGTTGTAATTTTCATTGCACAAAAGTACACAAAGGTTTTTTTTTCAATTACACTCACATTGGTTCTCAAATACTTGTATTTTTTTAGCATGAAAATGACAGAACAAATAAATATTATCAATTTTTAAATATAACAATTCAGGATGCTGTAAAAGTTTAATAAGTCCTCAAAGTAACCCTTTATTTAACAATAAAACTCAAAGTAACCCTTTAAGTTTTGCTATTTGACGATTAAAAATTGCAATTGAAATGGAACAAGAACCTTTCATAAAAAGATTCAATTTAACCATCTTGGTTACATTTCTTTCTAGTTAAAATTGAAAACTCCAAAATAAATTTAAATCTACATAAATGTCACTATGATATGATATTTTACTCTTGATTTAGTTCTGTATGTAACTAATGCAAGATAGATTAACATACATGTAAAAGAAAGCAAATATTAGTAATTGGTTGAAATTACGTTACCTTGACATGCCATGCGTGTAGACTTATTCCAAACATGCAGATGACAGCACAGTGGATCCATAGTTGCATAGCACTAATACTCTGAGTTGAAATAAATAAAGTAGTTTTCTTGGTATTATTACGTGCATTTATATTTTTTAATCAATGTAAGTATTTGCTCTTCGGTCATTTACATTGAAAGGTTTTTGTACACATTTCATTTCCGAGCGACATCTCAAGACTTTTGAGCTTTTGCAATGAAATTTTATATCAAAATTCCCTATGCGCCCACCCACCTTTCTTTAAATACCCCCTTTGAACCCCTCTTGATCCGTGCATGTTCTTTATTTGTTCTTGTTTGAGGAACGTAGAATCTCCTAATCAATTTCAAATCAGATTATTTCATCAGCTTTGTAAATTATATTTCAAATCTTGGAACAAAGATAAAGAGTAGAATGATCTTTGAAAAAGAAAATCTCATTTTAATGCTTTTAATGCTTATCTAATTTTCGGAAGGCATTCTTTTGAAATTATGTTACACCCATAGTGAAATTGAATGTGAAAAAACAACATATTCGATGTAAATGCCATGGTATGTGCACACAAATTACTAAGACGATGGATCGTGGGTGGATGGGTAGACCCAATTTATTTTACTTATCTAAACGTTTACCATTTAAATTATCTATTAAAAGGCTGGCCCGCCCTACTTTTTTTCCAAAAAAGTCAACTCCTCAAAATTTTCAACAAAAGAAGTATCTTTAATAGTTGAATTAGACCTACTCTACCCCGAAATTCTAACGCATTGCAAGTTGCCTGGATTTAGAAGATTGAGAATATGAGAAATATAATAATTTTATTTTAAATTTCTACCACAGCAACCCAAAGGAAGGATAGCAAAACATTGGGTAGTAGTATTGAAGCTTAAGTTCTCTCAAAGAGACGAACACACCAAACTTATCATGAAATTTCAGTGGTTTCTCTATCACAATAAACACATTTTAACTGCTTTTAAAAAACATTTAATGATATTTAACTTCTGTAGATCTGTTATCTGTTATTGTGTATATCTTCACAATCCCAAACTTTATTTCAGAGGAAATTGAAATTTCATTCAAATATCCATATACAATTATATGTTTTCCATATAACAAAAATATCGTTTTCTTCTCTTTTTTGTTAACAAATCTTACACTGTACCTGCGGGAAATAATGTAGATTTTTAGTTTCTCCTTCATTTTTTTTTCTTTCAGCAATTATTTTTAATTAATATAAGAACAAAAAAAAACAGAACAAAAATAAACAAACAAAACAAAGCCAGATTTTTTATTATCTTTGAAGTAAAAAACAATCATCAATTATATCCATTTTTTATAATTACATTTAAACAAAATTTCTGAGGGATCGAAATTGATATTTTGAAATATTTTAAAATTGCTCAAAATTAATTTCTTTTTTACGGAATAAAAAAAAAACTATTTAAAACATTAATTTACCTTAAGTTCTCCTATTGATGTATTGAAAGGTAGGTAAAGAAGCAAAAACATGTAATTATCAAAAGCTTCCTGGTTAAGTTTAGCTTTGTAAAAATAGCAACGGATTTCCCCCAACTGGAGAAAAAAAGAGACAACTCATTAATGTGTCCTATTTTTAACAATGATGCGGTTTTTTTATCTTAAGAAAAACTCTCTTTGAAAAGTCAAATGTTTCAACAATCATTTTGACTTGTTATAAAGAAATGATCTTGAACAGAAAGATTACCATCTTATTCCCTAAAATTGACGAATCATTTGAGTTAAATAATCTTGAAAGGGACGTTAGAAGAAAAAAAGAAATCATGCATAGCCTAACAATGTCCTACAAGCAATGGTAGTTGTTATATACCACACTTCATTTTTACCAAACCCATTTCCATATCTATACCTTACATGTACCCCCCAACAAAAAAAAAGACAGGGGGTGAAATGCATACGTACATCTTAATATTGAACAAACAGTGTACTTTAGAACAAAATAAGTTGGGGGAAATACTTGGTGATTAAGTTACACTTTATTTCCTTTGCACTGAAAATCACAAAAGAATGGATGTACATTTAAAGAATCCTGATTTGAAGCCTAAAAAAACTTCAGTTTTTTCTTTAAATATATAACCATTTGACTAAACATATGCATGTCTTCTCGATACAAATATTTTTCTTAATCTTTTTAATCGACGGATTATCAGCTTAAGTAAAAATCTCTTGATTTTTAAAAAAATAATTTCGAGAATTTTACAAACTAATATGTTTGTATATTTTACATAGATTTTACGAAATAATACCGTAAATCTGGAAATTTTTGCTGTAGATAAATTTTTAGCAAATTTGCGAGTTTTTTGCATTCGCAAAAATATTTTTCTTGAAAATAAATTACCAGTAAGAAAATGTAAACAAAGCAATAGTAATTCGCAAAATTTTGAAACGTAAAAATTAATCAACACCACTTTGACCCGAACTCGCAAAATAAAATCGACGTAAAATTTCCAGATTTACGGTAATGTGAAATTTATTGTAACTTTTTTTTTTTATTTTTTAGATTTGTCTTACAGTATACCCATGTTCAATAAGGGACATGATTAAAGGAAATTAAAATTTCTTGTCCAAAGTTGTGCTAGTTTTTTTTTATCATCATGTACAATATGGTAGAAAACATATAAGAAAGTGTGTAAAGGATATCTTAGGCATTGAAAATCAAACAGATGAATCATGCCCGATTATTTAATACTTCCTGAAATTTAATAAGTTATAAATACTGAAAGGAAATGCGAAACACATTGCAAACGTTTGAATAAAATTAAAACTTTTATTTCCAATGTGTCTTTGTATTGTTATCAAACATTTTAATTCAATTTTAATTAGCAAGTTACCAAAATCTTGTGCGACGCTGACTGATAATCCCTGAGATACTGATATGTTGATGCAAAAATTATAAAACGATGTGTATAACTCTATTGTATCTCCTGGCACTACAAAATGTGAACAAAATATTGTCATCATCAACTTGCACGAGTTTTATGTGTCATGCCGGGTATATAAAAGATGCCTTAGCATAATGCTGTGCCGATTTATGCGGCACAGGTCATTGTCATTAATTATGTAATAATTAATGGTCGTCCTGATCATTTGATTTCACTCTGTTGGAAGAATTGGTTTGAAAAATATACATACCGATGAAATAAGAAGCCCTTAGACAGTTGTTGCTTTAGCAAGTTTAGCAAGTTAGTCAGTCTGAAAAAGAGTTCTTCATAGCCCTACACAAAAAAACAGGTGTGTTCGCTGCTCTGCCTACGCGTCAATATCCAGTTTGTCGTCGTTATAAGATTTATTTACCGTGCCTTACTTTTATAATGATCTCCGTGTTTCTGATCAAAATTTTATCAAAAGTGTACAACATGAAATCAAAATTTAATTGAAAAATAAAACACATAAATTGATTTAATTTCGCTTTTATTATGGGTCCACTGGGAGTTTCAACGTTAATGTTAGATTTTTTCAATATCTGATTTCGTGACTGCTCCAGGTACCACTACCACTGACATTTATGTACGATTTAGGAGAAAATTTAATATATGTTAAAATATTTCTTGCTCTTTTTGAATAATTAATTTTTGTTAAACGTATATGCAAATGTTCATCGAAACATCTTAATTAGAAAGAAAAAAAAAACAACCCTCGTATATTTATCAAATAAAATGTTTTAATTGAAATGTCGTGTCATTTCATTTTGATGAAAATATTGATCCATTACTGTCAAGAGTTGATAAAGAGATACAAGGATAGATCAAAGAACAAGGAAAAAAGAGAGTTGAATCTAAGATTAGAACAATGACCTTGTCAGCAACTACAATTTATCAGTGTGTCATATGATTTGTGTGTCATTTTCATACTAATTGTTAGTCCATTGAAGGATTTTCCCACTTTTTTCTGATCATGACAAGGAGCACACGCTGGGTGTGATCTATCGGTAGGGGTTGTTCACTTTTTCATGGCGACTGTTCCCAACTCTATTGTTTTAAGGTCAAGATCTAGTAAATAACTTTAGACTAATTTTTTGGTGCTAGATCCATTATGACGTCATAATCAATTTCAACTTTCTTTTTGAAATCATTTGAAAAGTAAACCGGATACCTATATTAAATTTGATATTGATTTAAAGAAGACGCCACGAATATACTAATTACCGTTTTCTGAGAGACTGTAGGCAATCTGGATGGATTTCCTCTGTCGATTATGAAAAAAATTCCCATATTCATGACTGGTTTTCTTAATTTTTCATTGAGAATGACGGTTTAAAATACAGTTTTTAATCTTGTTTACCCACAAATTATACCCCGAAACACCTTATTTGACCAAGATTAAGTTGTAAAGAATCAATAAAGGAATTTATTTCTCAAATTTGATAAATCTGTAGGCACCTTTCATTTATTAGATCTTGACCTTAAAGGGCCTTGTTTGTTCTGCTCCTGTTTTGTATTGTTTAATAGACTTTTGAAATAAAATACGGTTTCTTACCTCCATATGTTTCAACAAAAACACATAAAAATTGAGAAACTGATGCCATTCATTATATTTGGGGATTTTTGCTACTCTTACGTGAGGAATAAGTTAATATTACAAAGTTAATATTCTTGTAGAGCTCTGTGAATTGATATTACATGTATGAGACTTTCTCCCTATGTTTGAACCTTACTTATAAGTTTAAAAGTGAGGTTAGTCTCTCTCTCTCTCTCTCTCTCTCTCTCTCTCTCTCTCTCTCTCTCTCTCTCTCTCTCTCTCTCTCTCTCTCTCTCTCTTAGTTGAATATCGAAAGATCATTCCGAGAAAAGGTCTCAATTGGTTCATCATAACGATAACCTCTCCTGATATGAGACCTGTATAATGTTGCTTGGGACCTGTACAATAATGACTTTTCCTTTTATGTCGTTATTATGTATAGTTTGTTGTTTTCTTATTTTTTTTTTTCTCTACAGAAACATTGCTTTTTTTCCCCTGGCGTTTCTTTTAATTTGACCATCTTCAAGACAGGCAAGGGTTGTTGTTAGTGTTAAATCAACCTGTTCTGTGCAAAAGGAACGCAGAACAGTGATGATTACAGTAAGAAGATAAGGCCCCATTTATACGGGATATGTTTACTATGACGTCACACAAAATATCAGGTCTTCAAATTAACTTTGAACATATTCTACAAAAATGGTTTGAACACAAGATCTAACAAATTATGAGGTCAACATTATATATATATATATATATATATATATATATATATATATATATATATATATATATATATATATATATATATATATATATATATATATATATGCGATCTTCCATTGTTGGAAATAGAAAAAAATCTCCAGATTACTCTTTGTAACTTCCGTGTTTTCCTTTCCGAATTTTTATACATGTAAGACCTCCAAATTTTAAAAAATAATCCTGAAATAGGTTTGAATAATTGTTTTTCTGCTCAGATATATAGCTCGCTGCGGCCGGTGCAACCATTGTTTACAACGTTCTTTGACGTTATGATTGTGACGTCACAATGCCGTTGCACGCGCAGTGACCCTCCTGTGAATACTGCCACAATTGTTTACAACGTTGTTCGATGTTCTGATTGTGACGTCACAATGCCGTTACACGCGCATTGACTCTCTGGTGAATACGGCCTAAAACCCGGTGAATCTGTAGTGTTATGAACTGTTTGCGTTTATATAGATTATATAGGGACTATAAATAGACTATGTAATAATGTAATTTATTCATTTAATAAAAATGATATCCTGTCACAGTGTGACGAATATCAGAAGTGCGGGAAAACTCTCGATTTCCCTTCCCATAACGAATTTTGTTGTAATAAAAATATTCCTTGGCCTAATATAAGATTAATAGAAATAAACAAAACATTCTGACAGCAACTAAACTGTCAAAATTACCAAAAATGTGTTGCTTAATCCATGTTTACAGTGTTTCACCTAACATAGCTATGACGTTTCAACCGCTCAACTATGACGTCATGAGCCTATGACTGTATTACAAAAAGACTGAGGCAAAGGAAAAATCTTTTTTGTTAAAAAATGTAATAAACAGAAAAATTCAATGTTTTGTAGTTAAATATGGAATTTATTTCACGAGTGAGACAGGATTTTTAATATTTTCACTCGAGTTTCGCACTAGTGAAAATATATAAAATCCTGTCTCCCTCGTGAAATAAATTTCATATTCAACTACAAAACTTTGAGTATCCTCTATATACGTTATACCTTGTAACTTTCATTTTAACGAGGCCCGATCTAATTGAATATTACGAAAACGGAATGATAATCTTTTTTAAATCTTGGAAATAGACTTGTATGTTTTATGCTTAGAAAAATAAGAACGAAATTTTGTTATCTTGCCTTTATTGTAGTGAATTGGGGGCATTGTCAACATATGGACCATTTTTCCTGTTTTTATTCAAAATAACATACCAAAACTTTTCAATAAACAAAGAAATTTACAAATTAAAAAAAATACATGATGGAATTCTTTGTTTTTCACATATATCATGCAATTTTCATTCTTTTTATAAAAAATGAAAAGAAAA